ATTTTTCATATTTGCTAGTCCTTGATGGTGGACGACGAGGACGTTGCTTGAAAGGACAACTAGAATACTTAAATTCCACTTTGAATTAATAATCATATTTAAAATATATGAACTAATCTATAACACACCTCCCTAGGCACCCTTAGTCCTAGAAGAGTTCGGAAATAAGATTTATAATAAAGAATTGCAGTGGAAATAAAAACACTTATGATATAAAATATTTTTTCAAAAGAAAGCCTATATTCAGAAAATCAATTTAATAAAAAGAATATCATATATATATTGAAAAATGCTAAAATATTCAAAGTTATAAGATAAACTGAGCTAAGTTCATTTATAATTAATTTAAAAGTTTTATACATAAAGCTAATTTACACAAAAATTATGAGGCAAATTTCTTCTCCAAAGCTTTCCAAAAAAACAAAAGCTGAGTCATGGTTTTGGTAAGACATCGATCTGCCTCCCTATCAAAAACACGAGGCCCTAGCTTGTACATACAACGAGCATGCGAGTCCTGTGCCAAAAGCTCCTAAACCGAGATGCTACTACCTCGATCTACTGATCTGAAATGGGGGGGGATTTTATGAGCTCTCAGCCTAGTAAGTAATAAGTTTAAGCTGTAAACTTGGGTCCTAAAACCCTTAGACCTACCCACACAAAGAGCATAAGACACAACAGAATCAAATCACATAATATCATAATTCTCATTATTTAAATAATGACTCAATATCTCAAATCATAAGCACAAATGTCAAGTAATAATCAATGACATTTAAATTGAATTCATATACTAAAATCATATGCTCACAAATACAATGTCACAAGCGCAATGCATAAAATCGAAAATCACACAATGCTATGGAGTCCACTGAGGTGTGCTAGCAACACTGTACCGGAACTAATCACAGTACTAACCCTACTGCGCAGAGGTCCACTAAATACTCCGAAGGGTCCACTGAATACCCCAAGCTTTAAGCTTAGGTCCACTTCCTCCATAGCCACAAACACATACGCATGTCAAACAAATTCATAATATGTCCAAAATAATATTAGGATTTCCTATTGAAAGAGATCAAAGCATAGTACGTGAACAGTAATTATGAACAGTAATTGTGAACAGTAATCATGAACAGTATCATGAACAATAACTCGTAAACAATACAATTTACTTATAATTCCTGCAGCAAAATTCACACCCAAATCAAACAATAAAAAGGACTAACTCACTATCTTTCCCATATAAGCCCCAAAATTAATGATATTTCTAATAAAAGTTTAATACCCAAAAATCTTATAAACCAAAGGATTAAAGTCAAATCTCACCAATTTAAACTACCTAAAACTCTAACCCAAAATTCATAACTAAAACTTATACTTACCTAACAAAAGCACCTTAACTTTGGTTGGAGAAAGAAGGAAGAAAAGGATGGAGGTGGAAGAGGAAGGCATAGGAAAACAAAATGAGGCTTTTGGGAGCCTTGTGGAGGCTTATCCAAGCTTCCACCGACAAAGGAAAAAACTTGGTTGGAAAAATGCCATGTGGTAAGCAAAATTGGAATAATTGAGTTATGGTCATTCAACTTCTACTAAGTTTTACTTAAAAACCCCAAACTTTAAATTCAATCAATTTAATCCCTAAAATTATAAACTAAAAGACACTAATTTTTAAATTATTCACTAAGGTATGTGGGGTGTTACATAATCAAATCTAAAAAATATAAATCTCTTTTATATTTGCTAGTTCTTGATGGTGGGCAACGAGAAAGCTACTTGAAAGGACAACTAGAATATCTAAATCCCACTTTGAATTAGTAATCACAT